GTGCAGAAAAAAGCACACATGGCGACGCCATGAAAAATCCTTCACCACCAATGCTTTTCGACGCTATTGGTGATCTGAAATCATGTCAGTGTTGTTAAGTCTGCATTTACGGCCCAACCAGATACGGGAAACAAAGCAAAGCGTTGGAAACAAACGCCCATTTCTCTGTAGAGCCTTAAATTCACCGAGACACACGGCTGTATATTGTTTTAGATTTTTATTCTGGTGATCAAATCGGTTCCAACCATCTAAAGAATTATTTCGTATTATAAGTAACTTCTGGATGAAATATTTGTACTGTTTATAATATTTTTTCTGTTATTTACAAGTTGTTATTTAATGTTGTTCAGCCGTAGTAGATTTAATAAGGTCTTCTGAACATGCTATGATCTATACCATGACATCCACTATCGCACACATATTTTTCCTTCTTACTATCCGAACATTCGCGACTGAATTTTTCGTTTTCTTCTCGAAACTCCTTTTCTGTGTTCTGTTGTATTAATGAGCTTATGTTATTTTTGAAATAGAAAATAAAGCTAACATAGTTGTGTGATGTTTTTTTGTGAGACCTACATAATTCGCTGCGAGCCTATTGGCCTGGTACCCAGCGTGGCGTGCCATATTTTTTCACGATATGGCGACACTTGAACTCGCCCCTGTGTTCTCTGCCGCGAAAGGCCAGAGCACAGACGATTAGAGAACGACGCTGGCTTCGCTCCAAATCTCAAGGCAGTAAGGTGTGAGCCTAGGACTAAGCCTTGGAGGGAGGAGGGGTTCTGGAGTGGGTGTGTCAATCATATCTGTGGCAAATATGTGAATGCAGCATATCACAGTAACAATAAATAGCTGTTCAGACGAGAAAGCGCAGGCGAAGGCATTCAATTCGAAGGCGGTTTAAAGGACGAGTTCAAGCTTGTCCGTACGACGCATTTCAACCATGCACTCGTTCCGCGGGCGCTGCTTTCTTGCGCGCGAAGGCCTTCGTGTCGGGCATCGTAGTCGTTGGATACAGGGTCAACCGTCCGTTGGACAAAGTCCAACGAGGGGGTGGGGGGTCGTATTTGGGGCGGAAAAGAGGGGGGGTCGTATTCGCGAGGTAGCGTTAATGTTACAGTAAGGGAAGGGATGATTTTTTATGGAACGGGAGCGGATGATTAGGTAGGCTGGGATTTTAAGTGCGAAAATTTTGCCGTTTCACATTCGATATATCCCCAGCCGCTCGACGGCAATTTTTGGGAAAGAAAAGTGGGCGGGTTGGGTGTCGACTGGTCTCAGAATCAGTACAGCATAGAATTCGCCCGCTATTGATACGTATTAGCAGATGGTGTTGATCGGAGGATGGTCGTGAGGTGGGGTGGCGTTAAACCCTGAGCGGGGTCGATCGAGCCATTTAAAAGCGGCGGAGGGGTGCAAGAATTTTCGCCCCCATTGGTCCAACGTGACGGTTACCAACTGTTGGAGAACCAACGTGTCTGAAAAAAACTCGTTTTATTATTAAAAACTCTCATTTTCTCGTTCTTGAATAGAACCTTCCAGTCCAGCGCCCGTCGGCTGAATGGGTAAAGGATACTTTGAACTAATGATGCGGGCCCTCTAAGAAAAAATAGATATGCTGCTGTGATGCCCTAAACACGATAAGTTTTGGAGGCCACCGCCGGTATACCAAGGTCTGCTAGTCGTTGTAATGAGACTTGCTAGGGCGCGCGCCAACTCCCTTGAAGTCCACGAACATAAAGGGGATTTCTGGTGAGGGAAAGCGCATCGTATAAAGCAAGAGGTGGCAAGATTCCGCCTGAATGCCACTGACCAGGCTATGCAATTGTGGAGTGCAATGAGAATGGGGTGGAGCATGGTAACCAAGAGAATCGATACCACAGGTGCGTGAAGGAGGAAGCTCATAACGCTACATGCACAACAAAGGGCCGGGTGGAAGCAACCTGTAATTTGACGTGGGGTGCGAGATGGTCAACATCGTTGACGTGGACCTGCCGGGCGTGTTCTAGCCTGCCTGCGATGGCCATGTGGGCTGCTCCAGGGTTTAGGAGTCCTGCCAATGTAGGACTAGAGGATATCCGCGCGCCCAGTGAAGTTTAGGAGGGAGGAAGCAATTATCGTAATAACTTCGTATAGCATACATTATACGAAGTTATAATCTGAGCAGTATCAAACGAATTACTCACGATTTCCTGGACCACAGAAGTGGGCAGATCCTACACAGGGTCATGATGTCCCCGGATATCTGGTGTTATTAAGCTAGGGGGTCGCCCTCGGCGCGGTGCTGCTGTTCGTCTGCTTCTCAGGCCGATGTCAGACTTTGCGAATCGCGCGATTCGCTAGCGTCCGCGGTCGCGTTGCGGTACCAGCCAATTGAGTGATTCACTGGCCGCGACGCGACCGCAGACGCTAGCGTCGCTCGATTCGCATAAGTATGACATCGGCCTAAAGGCTAGACCCCGATGGCGCGTATTTTGAAACTGCCACATGATGACGAAATAGTAACTGGCCCTGGGACTAAGCCCTTGGAGGAACAGACGAACAGAGCGCCGCGCAGCCGCGTGGTCCCCCCCTCCCCAATTAAGATAGCACCGAAAGAAATGCCTAATCCAGCAGATTTGTCTGGTTTTCCACACTCTTCTGAAGCTTTTGAAATAATAGTTGGCATATTTGTTGTCTGTGCATATTTTATTATTTGTCTACGCTGAAGACAGCAGGTGGCAAATCTGTTACATACAGCCTACCTAGACCAGACTAATGAATTAGCTGTGCTCTATTCGTTCGCTGGCTCACTTCCACATTGTGTTCTGCTTGGCCGGTGCGTGATATCTGGGGGATGCGCCGATGCTAGCGATACCGCGCATATGGCTCAGGGGGCCAGTCGCCGCCGCGATCTCGCGCTTTCTCCCTTAAGACCGACGTCATAGTCGGCGACGGACCAAGCGATGGAGCGATCGCGATCGCTCCATCGCTTGTCCGTCGCTTGCCAATCGCTCTCGGTCGAGCGATTGGCAAGCGATTGCGCAATGTGCACAAGCGACGGGCGATTGGCCCCGCCCCCAGTCAATGCAGTCGGCTGCGGTATCGATCGAGCAGAGCCATTGCCCGTCGCTTGTGCACTTTGCAAGCGATTGCGCAATCGCTTGCCAATCGCTCGACCAAGAGCGATTGGCAAGCGACGGACAAGCGCGCTTGTCCGTCGCCGACTATGACGTCGGTCTAACCGATTGTCTGGGAGCCGAGCTCAAGCAGGGAGAGGGGGGGAGAACTCCAGATCAACAGTTTCATCTTCCAAAGTTCCTGCCCATTCCCACGGCTTAAGTACTACAGCGCGTGCCGGTCGCCCGAAGCGCCGCGGACGAGCAGACCGCGCGCGGCGACCGGCACCCATCGAGCGCCCGTTCCACTTCTTGGACGTGAAATACGTAGAATGTCAAACGGAAAGAAAACAATTAACAAGCACGAGCATGGGCGCATGTTTGTCGTGTGGCTCGCTGCATTGCGTGCCACCCATTACTTGCACTTGATTCGACGTCTCAATCGCTACCGTTTGCTCTAGTAATGTGATTCGATTCGTGTGTAGGGACAGGTGCTCCAGGGGTTCGATTGCGTTTTTGACTTCCTTCCTAAATTCCTTGGCAACTAGTAAACCACTGCTCATCCGCGTTAAATTGGCTGAATTTTCAATAAGTTGTCGTTTCGTATAATCGATTGTTGTTGGGTCCATTACGACCTTGTGACAACGCACTCAAGTACATACAACAGCGCTGGGGAATGTTCTCAGTTCATAGTTCTGCTGAGGTAAGTTAATGGGGGCGCGTTCAGCACTACTGGCTGGGTGTATTTAAGTAGAGGTCCCACTCCCGACTAGCGTCCTGATATGGCCCATAACTTGATAACCAGAGTTCCACTTTCCCCCAGGATTCCTTCACCACATTCAATTTGTTGTTGCGTCGTAATCTCACTCCGGGTCTCATCCAGTAAGGGGGCATGTGCTGTGACAGTTCTTGCCGGCTACAGAAATTCCAATTTTTGCAAGGGGAGGGAATCCCCGGGGTGCGTGAACCATTTCGCTTAAACTTTTACACCCACCCCGGAGCTTCCCTCCCCTGAAAAAAGTGGATTACTTCATGCAATATGAACTGTCGCACCACATGCCCCCCCCCCTTACTGGATGAGATCCCTCATTCGATCTAGATACTCTTTTCAAAAGATCTGTCTACTAGTTTATTTGAGTTGATGGACTTGATTCGTTTGAAGAACTTGCTTGTTTGTTGATGCGTTTGAATTTCTTCACGTTTTTTGGCTCTATACAAGTAGGGTGGGCTTTTCATTGTCCTGATAAAGGGCCTACATTTAATATATGTGTGTTGCTTAAAGTAAACATGCATTGAGAATAAAGAAACAGTGTCGTTCAAAACAAAAAATTTAAAGGGACTTTCGTCCCCGCAAGCATTCGGGGAAGCATACCTTACGGCCCCTGGAGAGGAGAGGGACGCACAAGAGTAGCGCGAGGCGGTTTGAAGGCTGAGGTTTAAGTAGTCCGTCGACCTTGGCTACACTCCCCCTGGCTCACGAATTCCCCGATTCTGGTGACAGTGTAGTAACGGGCAGCAGTCCCACTTACATACATTTCTGTTCAAAGCATGCGGCGTGCCCACCCTACTTGTATAGCACCGCCTTTGTTCATGTTTCTCATGTTGATTGCAGTCGCCGTTATCGATAAATAAATTTCTCAAAGTTTCTCGGCTAGTTAAGCACCATGGGTTTTCGGTGGTTGTATCCAGACTGCTGATATTTTTCAGCTCTTAGCTTCGATAGATAGATTTCTTGCGAATACGTCGAGCATTTCCAATAGCGCAAGATTGCAGCTCTTCTACTCATCGTTTCTTAATTAAGTATTCGATAAGATATAACCAAGTGTTTCAGAATGTTTGCTTTGGTAGAGCGCTCGTCAACTAATTAGTCTCTGTCGTAGCCCAATCAGACCCACCTCCACACGGATGCTTTCTGACAGAATCTCCGATGCATATAAGGCCGTCAGGGTAAGTTTCTCGCTTAAATTTATAGCTCTTTGGGTATGAATATGCTGTTTGCTTGTGCGGTGCATTCAATTCAGCACTTGCGCTGGTTTACCGATTTTAGCCAGGTGATCAGAGTCCGCGAATCCGGTTCGCGTTTTGCAGGATTTAAGCGATTTATGCAATTCGCGCGGATCGCAAAATTGCAAGTGCCTATTTGAACATTTGCAACACTGAATATGAAACAAGTGAATCATCAGCAGTCGCCATTCAGCCATGCGCCGTGCAAGCAGGGGTGGCCGGCAGGCAATCTGAAAAACACTCTGCAGATTTTGACGGGCACGTGTGGTATTGGTCGGGCACTTGTGATTACCCATCGCGTAAATCGCTTGACTCGCGCGAAACGTGCGACGGGATCGCGGACTCTAACACCACCAAACTGTAGCAAATGAGGTGTCTCCTGAGGCATGGGCCGTCATTCCGAATACAAGCATGGATCAGGTTTTTGTTAGCCACGGGATTGGAAATTTCAAAGGGAAACGGGGTTATATATAGGGAACTTCGTGTACGGGGATGATCATCAGCCTGAAAACGGTACATGAAGTGCATGTTTACCTATCTTCCCTAATATTTGAGAGACTGTAATGGTTGGGACAAAATTCCATACTTTCTTGCCTTATCATCGGGAACTGTTACATCTCCAGTTCAAAAACTTGATTTACATACTCGTTCATAAATGGGGCTGTGAGGGATCCCAGGCTCTCAGCGAATAGCACCTCAGTTTGAAGAGTCTTCTTATTTTGCCTAGGACGATAGCGGAAAACGGTGCATTTCTGAAATATGGAAGTAGACGGTCAAGAGGAGTTCGAAAAAAGTGGTCCATAGTGGTCTTCTTTCATCTGTTTTGGTTACTATTTTTACTCAGTAATAAGTAGACTATTTGGATCTCACGGCTGTGGCTTTTTTAAGAAGCAGCCTCAGACAGCGCTGAAGGAAGGAGTTGGCTACGCCACTAGGATTTCCTACGATGAACAGATGAAGTCACAGAGAATGCATGGCGCGGATGCAGGTATGGCGTTTCATTTCAGTGTCCTTTCTTCATGGGTTGCAGAAGCTTAGAATACAGCGCTATTTCCCTCCTTGAGATTTACTAGTGTTCCAGACACCGGAGTCATACCAACGAAATGGCAAAGAATCTGTCTAGTGGTAACTAGACTGTACAGCAAGCCCACTGATATTCCGGAATACGTCTCGTAAGGAATTTATTTTTGAATTACGTCTTGCACATTATGCTCATGTATTTGTATCATCCTCTTTCTTACCTTGTACTAAGCTTCTTGAATTTCTCGAAATTAGCTTATCTATCAGAAATTGAGAATCGGTGTGCTGTCGCATCTTACATTAAGCTGATGAATGCATCTCAACGCAACTAATCCAACTATACTGGGCGAGCATCCAATTACGGGGAAATGCTGCTTAAGAGCCGCACGTTAAATGGTCATTGCCTGCTTACCACTGAAAACAGTCCTTTGAGGCCATAAAATGTCAGTCAATCAAGTCACATGTCGTACTTCCTGTTTGTGTACTTCTGAAGTCATTCCCACTTTACGTACAATCGTTCAATCACCTCAAAAATCAATTACTAGAACCTGCTCAACAAGATATTCGCATAATCGTAACTGTTTCAACTCCGTATCACTCCATGGGCTTCACCTGGGATCGAGGTATCTCACCGAACTCAAGTAAACTGGTTTCACTTTGAGTGACTTCGATAGATTTGCTGTGAACTTTTGTCAGTTGCGCCTTCCTACCGCGCCGCTTTTTGCGCTAAATTCTCAGCAGACAGGGGTCAGTTGTTAATCGCGTGGAGGTCAGTTGAATGAGCCGAAAAAGGGTCGGCTCTCTGAATTAGTCCGCCACCAAAGTATAACAGCATGTTTCCACTGGCGAATTGTGGTTTGTTTTTTCCAACGCGCTTTCTTCTAAAGGTCCCATATTTTCATTAGTTGCAAGGAGTCTTTTTAGTTACCTGGTGGTCTTACTATGGGCGGGTAATGCAGTGACAAGTGGCGCGCTCACCACGCGAGCGGTCCGGGGATCAAATCCTGGGTCGTGAGTCGCCCGGGCCAACCAAGCCTTCCATCCCTCCGGGGTCGGTTAATTGGTACCAGACTTGTCTGGGAGGATAAAAACACTGACTTGTACATCGGCTGGCCCCCGCAAGTCATTGTATAGGCCACATCGCATTCAAACGCCACTACGAATGTACAAATGGAAGTAGAATGCGTGCCGCATCCCAAAACGGGATTGATCAACGGCAAATGCTTTATCCTTATTCTTATGGTTACCATGGAAATTATCAATTACTATCTGGCTAAGAGATCAAGTTTGGAATATTCAATTTTTCGTCAGAACGTGACGATGACATCGGTGTCGATAGGATTCGTGCTGCTCTTCATAGCCCTTGTAGCTGTTACCTTGGTTTTATGTTAATTTTCTAACTACGGCCGATATCAGAAATGCGAAGCAAATTGGCTCATCGACCGCCGATTGCGGGAGTCAATGTGAAAAAAATGTGATCTACCTCATGTTTTCATCACGTTGAGCATTCACAGAGGCTAATGCAGCACGTGTATGAAGTGTCTTTGTCTAGGCACCCTTCACACTTTGGAAAAATCCATCGTGGTAGTGGTGGCGACGATGATGGCAGTTCGTTCTCGAACCACATCGATCAATTCAATAACCAGTTTGGGTTGTTATAGCATGAGTTTTTACGATCCGTAACCATTCTTACGACATCTCGTTATCGTTCGTTGTTCGATTGTCGATAATATTGTATTATAGTAACTCACATACAGGTTTTATTTCGACCAGTAGGAAGATTATATATCCTATTGTGACGCGCGTCTGTTGGCCCATTCATACTTTTATTTTGTGAAGCGTTGTGCAGGGTGCTCTTCTTTGATGTGCATGTTTATAAAACTGTCTCATTCCAACCATTCTATGCTGTTAATCCAATGGGTACAAGCTCCAGTTTTTTACCCTTCATCGCTTACTGAAATGTCCTGGTTGATTAGTTTCTTGTCGTATGGTTAGAATAGTTCTTGTCGTAAGGTTAGAAATAACTCTTTCAGATGGGATTCTTTCGCAAAGTTTTCATGACCGCTGCAGGTATTCACGACGAGAAGCAGGTGCGTTGAAGTTTTGATGGACTGAAATTTTGAAAGCTCTATATGGTTCATCACTCTGGTTCTTCAGGAACACCGTAAGGGGACCTATGAGTGGAAGAAAGAAAATCTGACTTCTGAACAAATGAAACGGACAATGGATAATCAAGGAAGATTTAGTGGGGTGAGTTAAGCTTATTATGCCAGCATTGTTTCCTTTTTTGCAGAAGGGTATCTGTCTTGGTTTTAACGGGGTGTTGTTCTATTTAGATTCTTTCAAATGGTTTTTAACATTTGCGTTGAAGTTGTGCGGTGGAATGCAATACTACCGACTTGTTTTTAGTCACCTTCTTAATGAGATTCTTTGGTACGATCGAAATCTCAGATAAAAGTCACCGTTTCTTTTTTCGATTCCATAAACCTTCCAACTTTTTCCTGCATTCCCTTCTATCATTTGCAGTGCAACTCTGAAGATGAAGTTGTTAGATCGGTGTCAGAGTCCGCGATCCATCACAGGTTTCGCTGATTTTCGCGATTTGCGCGATTCACGCGATTTTCGCGAAACCTGCGACGGATCGCAAAAATTGCAAGTGCCCCATTTGAACATTTGAAACACTGAATATGAAACAAGTGGAATCATGAGCAGTCGTCATTCAGCCATCACTATCAAGCAGAAGTGGCGGCAGGATTGGAGAACACCTTGCAGTATTGATCGGGCACTTGTGATTTCCGTGACCCGTCGCGTGAATCGCGCAAATCGCGCAAATCGCGTGAATCGCGAAAATCACGCAAATCGCGTGATCAGCAAATAGCGAAATTCAGCAAAAGCTGCGATGGATCGCGGGCTCTGACACCAGCCTTAGGCAGATGAAATTCACTGTCATAGTTTTAATCGAAACTTTTTTCACGTTTACTTACCTCGGACCCTAAGCTTAGCAAACACTAAAAGTATAGTACAAAATAGTATTAATCGTGAAGCATATAAATATCTTCCAATAATCCTGCTGCCATTTCGTAGTAGCACTGCCAAAGGAGGAGAGTTGTTAAATCGTTGTGTTGTGACGTTTTCTGGGCTCGGTTCGTCATTGGTTTTACCCATGACCACAGGTATGAGAGATTAATATAATTGAAGCAGAGGAGGAAGTTTGCTGGCTATAACGATTATATCACTAAGCATATTATAGCATAGCTTCTTAGCAGTAATTCTCTCGCGGTTCAAATTGGTCTTAATCCCGGCATAATATTCGAGGTATTACTCATAGCTCCTTTATTACTTCGCTAGTTTTCGGTTTTTGGTGGTTATTTTGATGATTTTTGTTTTGCTTAGATCCCCGCTATTCCATCTGACATTGGCTATAGCAGTGGGAAGGATATAGAAGGAAAGAAGAAAAGTGGTGTTATTTCTCAAGCGACGAGCAATCCTGGAGTAATTCTGGGAATGGGTCTTACTTGTCTCGCCTTGCTTGGCATGTTCAAGTGAGTTGACTCTCTTGATTGCTTCAGTTCGAATTTTTACAACTTTGTCTTCCTTTTTAAGGTCTTCCTTCATTGGGGACAAACTGGCCGCGCAGAAGTATATGCGGTACAGAATTATGGCCCAGTTCTTTACCGTGACAGCTCTTGTCGCAGGAGTTACCATTTTTGGTGCCACCTATGAAGATGAGGATGTCAAGCAGAAGAAAGCAGTTGCTGTTAGCTAAGCGGTCGATTTTGTAGTGTGTGCTCAAGTTTTAAAATTAGTTGGTAGTTTACTGGTCTGTCGATGTGATCAACGAGAAATAAGCTGCGGAATCATGGTTAATACTTGATCCTGGTGATTTGACCACTCTAGACAGTTTTACGAGTTTTATGCTGTATAATTTCTGAATGGAAGTCTCGATGTAGTCGTGTTCAGAATACCTCGTTCGCATTTGAAAACCCACTGTAACTGTACCATTCTATAACGTTTTATTTTGTATATTTTTGTGACGACTACCTGATGACGAACGATAAATCGTATTCGTACATTTTTGTGCACATTGACGTTTATGATTATGCAAAGCGTATTTTCTCCGTTTTCTTCTGTGCTTATATTTCTTCTAAACTATTTATGCTAAACGTGAGCGTGGAGCACACTTTCCGGAGGACTAATGCGGTAACTTTTTCTGATATTTACCATTACAAGCAAACAAATATACAGGGTCGAGAGGACTTATGCGGCGTCACGCAGTATGACCTAATGACAAGATTGGGATTTTTACTAGAGCTCATAGGGTTTCCCTCGTTCACAGGCGGTTATCCTAGCTAGAAGGCGACGAAGATCGAGGGAGAAAACACACAACTTTAGATCGGCTGGAGGCACTCAAGTGATCGTGCAAGCAGAAAGCGCATTTGAAGTGTGATGTCTGAAATGAACTCCGAGTGTGTGTTGGCGCTGATTCCAAAGGAAGATTTCCGGCAACTATGAGCGGTTTCCCCTCTTTTTACCAATACTTTGAAATACCTTAGTCTATCCGCGATGTGTTTTGTTACTCTTTCTGCAACTAGTCGCAACACGGCAACTATGCACGTTCTGTAGTTGCTCTGCGTGAACTCCAGCTCTGGGAAGGGGGGAGGCACGTTCATTGTTTCTCTCAGTCTCAAGATAAGGTGAAGGGCCTCATGACACCGTTAACGAGAATTAAAGGATTATTAAATTCAAATAAAAAAAATTAGCAATTCGATTCAAAGTGTATATTGTTCTGATTCAGAGTATCGGGTGCTGTAGGGATAGAAACCTGAAGGACTTACTCCTCCCTCACATGGGTGCCTGTGCAGTGGAAAACGGTCCGTGCACCAGCGGCCTGACAATGGAACTTCTGCTAGGCCCAAGGGTGGAGTAGCTTCCAAGGGTGGATGACCGCTCGCCCGCAGAAGGTGGTGGATTGTGAGCGAGGTAGCGACTCTTCGGTGAGGAATGTAGGACATCTATCGGTCCTTAGCCAAGAGGTTTTACGATTGAAATGAGTCGCTCTTTGCTCATAGATCTAGTCCTATTTAGGGTTGGATAGACCCAAAGGAGTGCTGCTTCGCCGTACACTCGCATTAAGCGGATTGGACGAGTCCCCCCCCGGAGGGAGATCACCGTCTTCGATCGCTCTCTATCCGGCAGTCTCACAGCGTACACGCGCCCCTGCTCGGGCAGTTCGAATCTGAGTTATGGAGCTTTAGAGTAATACCAACGAACAGCCTTCTAGTCAATGGGTTCGTAGAAGATGATGAGAAGGCGTCCGGAGCCTTGGTAGAGTAGCGTATCTGATCCTTTCGAGGTCCTTTAATGGCCGATGCGATTCTTGATGGGAGAGGAGCGTGTGGCGTAGTCCAGACAATGTTATGATTGACATGGAAGGTTTATATTTTCAATGATTTGCGAATAGCCGTCATGTGAGTCATTCAAGGTTGCTGGAGTGTAATGGGTCGGACGAGGCCGACGTGTAAGTTCACGGTAACGGTGAATAAGGATTACAAGCGGGCCTAGCATTATGGACGTGCCATCAACTTCCTGTTCTGGCTGACTGAACTTTTTGTTGTGTAATAAAAGTGCTTGGCGCAAAATCCGACTTCTCTCTTCAGTTAGAACCTCAGACGGCATGTTGCGTTATTATGATATTATTTGCTGTAAGAGTTACTAAGACCATGAACTGACCCGGTAGAGTGGCGCGCTTCTCGGTTCGCTTTGCGGTTGTTGGTGGTGTGTGTGGGTGTAGTGTGGTGCGTGGCGTGTCGTCGATCTCGGTGTTAACGTCAGGGCTATGGATAAAAATCTCACTAACAAGCCTCTAGTTGGCAGAAGAATAATACCTTATTATAACCTATGCAAAATATTTTGGAACACAATTTTTGATTGGGTCCTTTCAACAATAGGAGTTTCTGCAACTTTATTGGATTCGGTTAGGGAAGAAAAACGTTTTCCACTACTCGTGACACAATTTTTCCGTTTTAGAATGCGACTATTTCTAACTATCAAGTTTTAACCATTCGATAAATCGGTTCATGCAGCATCTAACATGGATTGCCGTTGCTTTTGAAGAAATCTTATTTTATTCTGTTTGTTTGTGAGGTTTGAGTTTTCATGCAGAAGCACACTTGCACAGGAAGACGGCCAATTTTCTATTACTAGCCTCGGGAAATCGATCCGCCCAGGCCTTTGCACTTTTTTGCACTCTGATTTGTTTTGAAACCTTTTAGATTTCCTCCGAAACAATAGTTGTATTTGTGCTCGATAAAATTTGAAGCGTTTTTCGTAAACGCTCGTGCTCCGAGGTGCGCCGAGTCGCACGTTTGGTCTGCGGGATAGAAAGTCTCAGTGAGGCTTTTCGAGGAAGCATAATTCATCGGGTAGGTGCTCGTTGATAAGGCCATCATAGTGATTACCGCGATCGTCAGCTCCTCGATTTACGTTGGGGCAGGCTTTTCGAGAATGTATATCAGTTCCCTAGGGTCTTACTCTCATTAGGCACTCAGATTTCCTTTTGCAAGCCAGTCTGAAGCCCAAACTGAGTCCTTTCATGTCATGATTCTCTATCACCTATTGGGGGAAAACTTGCTGCGGCCTAGCACTCTCCTCTGAGCTTTCCGTCATTGCATACGAATCTCTCCTCCTCCTGGGATACATCGTGAAAGTTTGACGCGATGCGGTCGGTTGCGTCTCTTCTAGGATTTCACTTCCCAGGTCCACCTTATCTCATAAATTCGCGGGAACGAACCGAGACACCGCCGATGAGGGCTGGGATACTCAATTGTAAAAAGATTGTTTGGGTAGGTATAGAGAAAGATTGGTAGTAGAAAAGGAATTGAGCAGCTATCGCGGAAAGCAATATGCCATTCCGCATAGTAACATGATCAGGCTCGTGTTTCATTTACTGCGGGCTCGGTTCGTACCTAAGATTCGGATTGTAGTTCTGACGGCCACCTGTAAGGTCATCATATTATCTGCCTCTGTGTCTGTTGCGTGTTTTGTTAGTGCTGTACAGCTGATATTGATCTTTTTTAGATCTGATGTACCTGAGGGCTTTCAAATGGGTCACTATTGCCGCTGTAGCGGCGTATATTGTGGAGGTGTGTTATCGAGATAATACTGAACCATCTGTGCATGGTGAAGTCGACGATGCATTCGAAAGGGGTTCGAGAAGCTTTCAGGTTATGTATCTACCTTTTTAAACGCTGTAAAAATAGCCTCTTTGGAGTGGATTACTAAAAATAAGCACGAACTTAACGTTTGGGGACATTTCACGTTGATAGTTGAGCAGTTCTAGCTCATAGTACTGATCTATTGCTGAACTGCTGTTCGCATTTCAGCCTCGTTTCGGTGAGATTGATCCCATGTCTTCTGTCTGCCTTTTGGTAATGTAAGAATAGGTCTCTGGAAGGCATTAATCGGGCTAATTCCACACGGGTTGGTATCTCATGTTGGCGAAGTTTGCGCAAGTCGCCATATACCTCCGTCCGTTGGCGCAAAAAGACCAAACATAGCCGATGGGTTTAGGTTTTTTGCCTCAGGCCTGCACTTAGATGCGACACTGACATGGTATTCCTCTCTTGTGTTCGACTCATTTCCTCCTATTACCTAGTTTTTTTTTTCATTTTGAGGTTCAGTCCCAATTCACTGTTTGAAAACACACTCCACAGTTAAGCAGGTAGGGGTTGTGCTGACGCCCAGAGGCGCCGGTCCAGCGCCGGAGCCCGTGTGACGGACAATGTGATCGACCAGCGATGAAGACAGTCACAAAAAAAGGGTTCAAATGAACCCTCAAAATCACCAAGCACGGTCATGGTGTGGACGGGGTTTGCGCCGCACACCATGGTACTTATTCATTCGGATACGGTAAAACACGGTAACGACACAGATAATGAGGGAAGCTGTGGTTGAAATTTCGCGTACCGGGGATGATTGCGCTCGAAAAGCTCAGCCCTGAAAATGACACACATTTTGAAGTTTTTTATTTTACAGTTGTTCTCGCTTGTTTAATGTGTGATAATCAAACCGTTACAATAATTCATGTGCGGCCGTGACGCCAGAATCTTGCACTAACAGCTGGGGATGTACCCTTAAGTTCTATTAGAGCTGACACTTTCCTGTGAATAGTGATGGGTATAGCGGTTTTTACCAAGTTCTTGTGTTTTCAGCGCATTTATTCGGGCGTATAAATGGGTTAGCATAAAAGTCTTACAACCAAAAATTGTGGCCAGGTCAAAGTGTGGAGTGTGGATCGGGCAAGAGGTTCCGAAAAAGTTGCCATTTTCACTGATCTTAATTAGTGGCGCGGAATTTTGCAAAACAGAGAACAGAAATACCCGAGCTATAAAATTAAAAATAGCTTTCTGCATCGATATCCGGTTATGAGGTATGCGCATCGTGGTGGTTGCTTACATTCGTAGTGATTTGAATACGTGCCCAGCCCATGCACGGGCATTACAGTCCCAAAATCTGTAGATGTAGGCATTCTTCTCCTCACGTGGTACCCACTTATCTGGATCTGTGAACCAAATTTCTTGGTTAGGTCAGCTAGAATTTGAACCATGATTCATCCTCAAAATTTTGTGGGTACTGGCGTCACCTGCCCTTGCCCTTCATCTTTTCATGGAATAAGCGCCCATATCAGCCGAGGCGAGCGTTCTCCAGCTCTTGAGTTATCGCGACACAAAGTATGAATAACAAGCGCCAAGCAACAAAGTACAACCA